CTGCCTGATGAGAAAATAACTGTTAAAAATTCTAAAGACAAAGAAGGAAAAAATGCAACTCTTTGCAACATTCAAGAAACTGAATTAGGATTTACTATTGTGCTGGCGATAATTAATGTTAGAAATCTGTGCCCTTTCGTAGGCAAGAGTGTGACTGGGGCATTGGGCCTCTTATAAGCAAAGTATGAAAGGTTCACATTCTGTGGATGTTTCCCATCTTTTCTACCCTTGAATAAACAGTTATTTAGCTGTTTCGGAACTTTATGGCCACAGTTGGACTGTGTGCAGCTAAAGCCATTAGTAAAACTATCACCTGAGGTATGTTTCCAATTGCTAAACAGCTTGGGCATTATAAGAACCTCTTATCCATAAAGCACTTAAAAAGACTTTGTAATGAGATTTTAGAAGGACATGGATTGATTAGCTCTTATCCTCATTTAGGAAATGATACCCCCTCCTGGATTTTAACGTCTGTTTTCACTAATGCCTACAGTTTAGAATCTTCTAATATATTTTACTCTGGTCTAGCAATGTACTATCTCTGCCACAGAAAATGCCATTAAGCTTCAAATGGGCTGGATTCAAGTAGAAACTGCCAATAGAATGGATGTTGCAGATAACAATACTAACAGTTTATAGGGTTCCATGTATTTGGAAACAACATTATCTGGTTTTCTGGCCTTTTTTTTGGTCAAAATACATGCAGAGTCTAATTAAAAACTGGGCTCTTTTATTTTACAGGTGTAGATGCCTTTAACATGAATCTTCCATTTTTAAAGAAGGGCAGGGTTCAAAATGGGCAGTGGCATATTAGGTAAAATGAATCTATCACAACTCAGCATTTGTGTTGCACACCATTTTATTATTCTGCTTTTGTTTTTTAAATCCCATCTTGTAATTATTGCTAAAAATACTACAGCACAATAATGCCATAGCATTTTAGCAGCTGCCACACGTATTGTCAGCAAATTAAAAGAACTTTGTGTGGGCACATAAATAATATTTCCAAATTAATAAAAAAAGTGACATACATAGTTTACTTTCAGTTTATATCTCTTCCATCTGCCCAGCCTGAAAGAACAAAGTAGTCTGTTAAGAGATGAGTTGTGAGCTGGGAAATCCCTAGTTTATATCTTTTTAAAAAATTGTCTTTATTAAAGATTTTATTGGGTTACAAAAGTACATACAGAGTCTCTGTTTTCAGTTCATAGAATCCTTTCTACAGATCAGTTATATTCAATGTGAGATGGTAATGTTATAGAAAGTTTAAGACTGAGGGAGAAGAGCGGTGGGGAGAGAGCGTGGGGGAGAAGGGGGGTAGTAAACTTTCATTATTTTACATACCTTATGACTCTACTATGGACAAGCTAGCAAGTGGCTCTCTTTTACGCTGAGCTTTCAATTTGCAACAATAATGTTGACTTGCTGTGGGTTAAACCACAGAGCCTAGAACTTGCCGATCAGAAGGTCGGCGGTTCGAATCCCCGGGACGGGGTGAGCTCCAGTTGCTCAGTCCCTGCTCCTGCCAACCTAGCAGTTCGAAAGCGCATCAAAGTGCAAGTCAATAAATAGGTACCGCTCTGGTGGGAAGGTAAACGGCATTTCCGTGCACTGCTCTGGTTCGCCAGAAGCGGCTTAGTCATGCTGGCCACATGACCCGGAAGCTGTACGCCGGCTCCCTTGGCCAATAAAGCTAGATGAGCGCCGCAACCCCAGAGTCGGTCATGACTGGACCTAATGGTCAGGGGTCCCTTTACCTTTACCTATATTGTAGGATTTCTTGAATTAGGGGCCCTAGTTCCATGGTGCAGCTCATGCTTTGCATGCTGAAGGTCCCAGGTTCAAAGCCTGACACCTGCACTTAAAGGTTCCCATAACAAGTGATATGAAAAACATCTCCTTTAGACTCCCATGAGAGCTGCTGTCAGTCACAGTAGCCAATACTGCCCTAGGCTGACAAAAAGGCTGACCTGTAAATCAACTTCCTATTCTCTTTGCACACCCAAAATATGCTGCTGCAAAATGAAGATGGGCTAGACTCATTACAGAATATCTAGAAACATTTGCTCTTAGTGGTAATAAATCTTTTACATTGTTAGGTCCTGGCAACTTTTTAAGAAGTGCTGCCAATGGCCAATATAGACCAAAGGTTTATGTTTATCAATGGATAAGGAGATTCTGACTCCCGAACATTAGATTTGCTTCCAGCTAAAGGTTAAACTATTTGTGATGTGGGAAAGAGGTCTTAAAGACCTTGAAAACACAAATCGGTCTTGTGAGTGAAACAGTTTAGAGCATAGTTGCTATTGATCGGTTGCACATTCCTTTAATTGAAATTGCCTTTGCATGTAATAGTCTTCAATAAGCCTTTTTCTTTGTTTACAGTATAACTAATGGCTTTCTAACAATTGTCCCAAACGTCTGGATAAGTAAGACTGCAACTTATTGAGGGTTTCTTGTATGGCTTGTATGTCTCTAGGGAAACACATATTTAGAAAATGGTGAGGAAGGTCAAAAAGTTCAGTTCTATTGTATTATTCTCATTACTTTCAGTATATACTGGAAAGGTGTGGTTTGAATGTTATAAATTTTTTTGTGGAGAGGGAGTAGTTAAGGATTCATTTAATCTCTCCCCACATGTCTCTCTCCCCCTCCACCCTGCCCAGGAAATCTGTATGAAAATTTCATGCATCATAAAGATAACCTAGGTATGGGGGTGAGACTAGAGAAGGGGGCCTTTGGCTGTTCAGCATGGTCACATGACCTGGCAACCCAGTATGGAATACTATTTTAAAGTATTCCATACTGCCAGTCCTCAGTAGACCAGCAACAGCACCTCACTGATGAATACGGTTTGGATTTGGTGTAACTGTATACCAGCTTAATCTACACCAATGTGCTTCATGTCAGCTTCTTGTGCCCAAGACTGCTTCCTTAGTTTAACTGTTTTGTTGGTCAAACTTAGATCACGCAGCCCCAGCCTCTGGGATTTTAGATTAGTTTGCTGTAAATATTTTGAAGAGGGAATAATTTACAAACAATGCAGTAATGCCTGTCCTTAAAGACAGATAATTTATTACTGCATATGAAGTTTGCTTTGCTGCTGTTTTTAAATTCAATTTATTAGTTTTATATTTTTCTTAAAGCAGTTTCCCTGTTTATTCATTCTGAATCAAAGTCAATGCCTTTTCACAATTCCATACAGACTTCACGTGGAACAGACACACAGAAGTTGTTTAAACAGCAAAATATGAGCATCTTTCCAAATGCCACAGATGGTTTCCCTCTTTTAAGTAAGGTTATTGAAGGTCTGGTTATGTTAATGAAAATTACTTAGGAATCCACAATTGCATTTACTTCTGGGAGAAATGATAATATGCCCTTTAAAACAAGAGTCCCTTCTGAGCTACAGTAAACTTCAGATGCTAATATGGCACCCTAACTCTAAAATCCGTGACCTCAGCAAATACCAAACATATTTATAGCTGGCTATGAGTGCACTTCTTAAATATGTCAGTCAACCCAATCTTTTTTAAAGCTTGACCTACTGTTCTCTGGAGTGCACCTGTGTCTCCTCTCTATAAACCAAACCCACAACCAGCATCAGTCAACATCTAAAAATTAATTCCCAGGTGAACAATTTTTCACTTCATAGCCACTGCTGATGCAGTCTATTAAGTTTCTTCACTTAACGTGTTTTAAAAGGCATGTCATAGTCTTAGCCTTAGCCTTTCCCCCTTTTTTAAGCAACGTATTTTGCTGTTAGGAAAGGGGGAAAGTAAACAAGCTGTGTTAAATAGAGTGAATGATCAAGGAAGCTGAAATGCTAATCCTGTATTTTGGAGAAATTAATTCTCAAGGAAGATCAAACTACGGAGAAACATCAATTTCCAGTGCTTGGGGGGGGCACACAATTCAATATATGCAACTCACTCTGAATACAGGGAATAGGATGGAATTTAAATCTCTTGTGTATGATTGAGTTTCACACACTTTACTACTAACATTACAGGCAAGTTTCCACAAATACAAAATTGAACTTTGACTCCTTGCTAGAAAATTCTGAAAATGGAACATTTTTGACATTTTCCACTTGAAACCCAGGAATCCACTTGCAATTGTGGCCACCATTCCAGTGTAATACAAACCAAGCCACCAAGGAGCAGCAGGTTGCAGCAGGGTGGAAAGTTAAGAACATAAGAAGAGCCTGCTGGATCAGGCCGTTGACCCATCTAGTCCAGCATCTCCCTTGACTCACTTGAGCCAGCCTTGAACCAGGGAGCTCAGAAAACAGGACAAACCATACACGCAGTAGATTGCAAGCCCTGTAGATTGTCATATGAATGAGCAAATCTCTGATTTGGAAAGAAAGAATTCTCTCCCCTCCCCCACCTCCCACCCCATCATGCAATTGGCAGTCAGGAACATATCTATGACTGGAGAATTTGAAATGATTTACTGGTGTATGAACCTGGTCTTCCCTGCTCTTTTTGATTTTTCCAGGTAGCGCTTGCAATATCACTGTTCCCCGAGAAGCCCAAATACATCTTGATGTATGGGCATGTGTGAAAGAAGAGGGCCTAATAAATATAATTAGGATTGTGCTATAAAGTGCATTATTCATTATACTGAATGCAATATGTTTGTTGAATAAAATATTAGTAGGATTAAGATGCAATATTTCAGGAAGCTGTTAGTTATAACCCCCCTTCTCCCCGCTTTACACGTCAGAAAGCAAATAACCATAGTAGTATGAGCTTTTTAGTACAATGCCGTGATTGAGGGACAAATATGAAGAGCCACATCACAATAAATCTGCATCACTCTGTGCTGCCAGCAACATGGTCAAACGACGATGCCAACACAGCACAAAGTCACTTATTTTGAGAATATAAGTTCTGTGAGGGGGAGGAGTAGATAAAAGAAATCCCAGCAAAAGAGCTGGCATCCCTCTATCTTGGGAGACAATGGGGAAGTGTGTCTTTGGGAGTGAGGTCCAGCTGTTGGATGGTTGCAGTGCCTGCTGTGGCTACAGAGACCAATGCAAAAGAGACATATTTTGTTGCAGCTGGGGCAGATGGAGGCGTCTGGTTGTGGTGCTGCAGATGCCCCTCAGTGTTTCTTCCCTCTGTTCTCTTCCCAGCAGTCATTTCTCCTGTGGTCACTGCTGTGGATACACAACCTGACTGTGTCTGGGCACTGCAAGGGTCGCCTGCAAGGGATTCCCACCGTGCCGAGTTGAAGCTGTCTGCCTTCATGTCTCATTTGCAGACATCTTTGTAACAGAGAGTTCGCCTGGTGAGAGAAAAGAACATTATATATTTATTTGTTTATGATTTCTATACCGCTCTTAATCTGAGGATCATAGGGCGGTTTACAATATAAAAACACAAAGACATAAATAGAAGCCTTATTGGATTGACCAAAACGCCTAACTAGATGCCTGTTAGGTTCAGTTTCCTGCTTCCCATAGTGGCCAACCACAAAAAGGGAAAGGAAAAAAAAGGGGGGGGGGAGGACTACAAGATACAGTGATCTTAATCAGCTTTGATGGTTTTGAGCAGGACATGAAAACAATATGCTCTCCTCTTCCTGCTGAAACTGCTGTTCTGTGGCATGCAGTGTCTAGTCCTGGCATACAGCTATAATCAGGACGAGTAGCCATCCTCTGTGAATTTATGGAATCCCCTTTTGAAGTCATCTAAATTGGTTGCCTTCAACAAAATTTATGGAAGCAAATCTAGGGATGCCATATATTTCAAAAATCCAGACACAAATGTTGTTGAGCTTTATTTGGGAAAAGTTGTTGACGTTTTCCCCAAAGTTGTTGAAATTTAGCCAAGATCTACACTACCAACATGGGTAGCCATGCATCCAGAATTAACCAGACATTTTGCCGATTTCCATCCAGACACAGTTTCAGACTATGCACTGTGTGGAGGAATGCTTTATTCTGTTTGCTCTGAATCTCCCCCTCTTCAGCTTCACAGGTTGATTGAGAATCTAGTGCAGGGCTGGGGAACCTGTGGTAAGAATTAGGATGGCCACATTTCCTGCAGCTTGACAAGCCTTTACTCTTCACCAGCCACGCACCTTAGAGGAGTACAGAGCTGGTCCTAGGAAAATAGAACATCCAGTTTCTTTAACTGCCTAATATATATGTTTTGTTTTGTTTTTTAAAAATGAGTGAGCTTTATGCTTGAATGTGGTTCTTTGAAAGGTTACACATTAAAATACAAATCTAGATTATGCAAACATTTCATTTGTTTGATTGACAAATGTAGGCCGTTTCCTTTTTGTAGATGGTTAGATTTTATACAAATGTAGGCGGTTTTTAATTAAGAGCTCTATATGATACATATACACACTGTGGGTGACACCGCTTGAATAAAATATTTGTCATTCTTGTTTGAATTTCAATAAATCTGAGTTGTTTCAGGCAATTTCCTTAAAACAGGCACAACTAATTATCAGAAGTGATCCTGTAACATATTGCAGAGAAGTAACCCATTGAGAGAATCTGAACCGATAGTCACTGGGAAAAAGAAGCCATTGCTTATGGCTCTGAGGTCCCATGCATGAGAGAGAGGCTGATAAATGTGCAACCCCCCCCCCCAAAAAAAAACAAATAACCCCTCTATAACAAACAATAAACACCAAGCCCACTTTACAAATGAGTCATGCTTCTCACAAGGTTCTCTTGTTGCCTTATGGACCAAGTAGGTCTTATTGGCTCCCTAAATTATTGTTGCATGTGTGCACTGATGGATAACTGGGTGTTAGAAATTGTTTTTTCAGGTTATACTTGGGCCACAGCAAGCAAGTACAGTGTAGTCAGGAGAATTCAAAAGCATGGGCTTTGCTGGGTGAGCACCTAAAGGCATGGTCAAAGTTTCCAGCTTGAAGGTGGAATTACAAAGATGATGTCAGTGGCTGGCAGAGCCAGGAGGAGGCAGCATAAGGGAATGCAGAACGGGAATAAGGTCATCCTAAAGAGGGGCCCAGCAGGTTGTGGGAGCCTCTATTCGGGGGGGGGGGGCAATCGGAGACTAGTAATAGGGAGGGTGAGAGGCAAGTACCCCTGAATTCCCCACCCATTCCCTCCCCACAGCAAGCATGTTCCATCTTCCCACTACTCATGCAAGATCCTTCTGGGGAGTAGGAGGCATGTGAGAGTGAAACAGTCTCCATGCACTCAGAGGGGAAGGTGGGGATTGTGCCCCCCACAGGAGGAAGGACGGTTCTTGGAGATTCTGGCCCCATCCTCTTGCTCAAGAAGACGTGAGAAACTCAGGCAGCAGAGGGTGCAACACACAGCAAGTAGTTTCACTGCAGAATCCTATACCCGTATATTCAGAAATAAGTCCAACTGAATTCTATGGGGCTGTTTACTCTCAGGAATGTAGATATAAATAATATAAATACAGTGGTACCCCAGGTTAAGAACTTAATTCGTTCTGGAGGTCCGTTCTTAATCTGAAACTGTTCTTAACCTGCGGTACCACTTTAGCTAATGGGGCCTCCTGCTGCCGCTGTGCGATTTCTGCTCTCATCCTGAAGCAAAGTTCGTAACCCAAGATACTATTTCTGGGTTAGCGGAGTCTGTAACCTGAAGCATCTGTAACCTGAAGCGCCTGTAACCCGAGGTACCACTGTAGTAATAATCTTAATGAATTAAATTAACCCTTATTCCAACCAGGAGTGGCTGTTTTCAAAGGGTTGATCTAGAGCAACAGGCTCCTGGCAGCAGAGGGAGGTGGCAAGGTTGGGGTTGTGTGGAACCAGTTAGGCACTCACGCCAGTGTGCTCACACAGGTCCAACATGTGCTTGTTTCCCTGTCCCAGTAAGCAGCCCTGACTCTGCTTCTGGGAGGCTATTGCATTGTCTTTGTCCCACCAGTAAAACCACTCCTGATCCCAACCTGTGTATCTTGTGTCAACTTCATTTGGGGACAGGGGGAAACAATCCTGGAGTCAGAAGTATGGGAAGGAGAGGAGCTCTATCGCTTGTTCAGAGTGTCTTAATGGATATGCCAGTGGAAGGAATAATATCATTGCTATCACTTTCAGAACACTTGAAGCTGCAGAATCTTACATGAGAAGTGTGTGTGTGTGTGTGTGTGTGTGTGTGTGTGTGTGTGTATCTGTCTGTCTTTCTGCCTGTCTGTCTGTGTGGAGAATGCCACTGAGAACTCCTTTTGTTCATGCACTAAAAAGTTTCTATAATCACTCCAGACTTACTGGTGCCATTGCATTTAGAAATCAGAGATTGCCAGAATATCTAATGAATCTATCACTGTCCATGGATAGATTATGTGCTGTGTTGAAAAGCAACTATTAACTTTAACCTTGTGCCTCTTGATCTCCTTGTGCTAAGTTTTCAGGAAAAGATTTATAAAGCAGACTTTGAAATTGGCATATTTTATGTGGAACCGCATTTGTGATGTCATGCCTTGCATCTTTCATACCATTAAAAAGCTTCATATCATGTTAAAAAGCCACTTGCTTGTGAAAGGAAAGCTGTTGCTTTCTCAGGAACTTACAGTTCCTTCTGTGTGGCTAGGTGGGCATACAGAAAAGTAATAAGAGCTCCAATCAATAGTTTCCTATATATTAAGTACAGGTGATGGTCAACAGACAACATTCCCAGTGGATTGCAGCAATTTGCAGAATCTAACAATCTACTCTGCTTTATTGGTAATGGTTATCTGTGAGTCACGGAGATTCATCTAATTATGACAAAATAGCTCTGACTCCTCCAGAGTTGAAGTACTTGTATTGCATTTTGTGCTGGAGGACTTGTGTGAATGTGTTCTAGAAGGACAATATCACTTCTGTTGGCAGATGTTATTTTGTATCAGGACTCATATTCACTTTTTCTTGCTATTACATTATTCCAAGAACAATGGATGAAATATTATTTCAGTTTACGAGACAGTGGAAGAGTGCAGCTTCTTGTAGTCGAAGCATACCTTTATTGTGCCATTAACAAGGAATAGATTTGTATCTGAGTTGTGAGAGAAGTCAGTTTAAATTAAATGGATGAGCTCGTAATAAGTGCAGAAAGCAAAAGCTTTCTGTAGTTTATGTTAGTGGGCTCTTTATTGGTCATACTGTGGGCAATATACATAAATATGGAAGGTCACACGTGTTCACATCCAATGACTGGCAGGCACCAAAGTTGAATGGAAGATTTGGCAGAGAAATAGACTAGTAGCCTCCCTCAACAATAAGTGGCCTGACCTGTAGGAAGACAGCGGATGTGGCCATAGTAAAGCACTGGCTCTCTGTCATGTGCTCCTGGGCCTGGACCTCCCTGCTTTTGCCATGCACCAATTAAAGGCACAAATCCTCTTTGCATTAACAAAGCTCTGCCTCTGTGTTCTGACCTAACCTTTTAGTTGCAGGAGATGGGCTGGATCCTCCGACACCAAAGGTGACCTGAGAGGAAACTAGTCTGAGAAAGTGTTGTAGGACAAATTACTTTCCCCTTTGTTCCTACTTGCGTTAGTTTGGCAGTTCTTTATTCTACGGCTGCACCTGTTAGCGTATTCATAGAATTCAGTTTATTAGCAATTTGCTCTAATGCTTTGTATTCCTAGGTAATTATCAAGATAATGAAGCAATTCACCATTTCCCTGGATAACTATCTTCCTGTTTAAGATGCAGTTCTGTGTATGCTCACTTGGGTGCAAGCCCCACTGAACATAGTGAGACCTCCTTCTGATAAACGTGGTTAGGGTGCTGTAAGATACAGCATTTGGTTTGTGAAGTTGAAGGCATCTGTGACTTTAAGAGTTGTTGCTTAGCAGCTCTGCTGATTTATTCTTCTGAATTGTAATCCAAGTGGAAAGGGGTTTCTGACAGAAAGAGAATTGGCAGTGCCCTAAGATGCTCTGTGCTTATAAGTCACTAATAAATCACACTGTGGTGATAGTGATACCCTGCTGTTACTTTCAAGCTAATTCTCTTTGAGGATTTGGCCTACTTGCTGCAGGGTATAGTTATCACCCTTGTTCACTGCCTTATGATATGCTTTACACCTGTGAATAGTCAGCATTCATTGGGTGTTATCTTTTATTAAGCAATGTATTCAGTGATGCCTCTCTATGGATGGAATGCACTTTGATTTGATGGCGGCATCTGTCAGCAGAAGGGAGAGGGTCAGCCATTTATTGCTCTTTCCCTCTCACCACTGCAGCCTTCCCACACCCCCTAAATCTGCTCCAAAATGTTAGGTGTCTTTTCAAAACAGTAAAGGAGGTGACAGAGATGCTGCAAGATGGAACAGGAACCATCAAAAATAATTTCCTCTCCATTTCACTAGCAGAAGCATCTGCTGGACCAAACAAATTTTGGTCAGAGAACGGTCCCCACTTGATACAACCCTAAGTCATTATTTGCAGAAATCTTCCTAATGAAGCAGGTTTCTCAAAGAGAATGAGTTGGTTGTATGATTCAGCACAGCAATTCAGTGTTCTGAAGCTGAATTGGGATGTTTCCTAGCCCTTGACTGGAGCGAAAGACAGATGCTTGGATTAATGAGCACACCATATTGATAAATGATGCCTTTTGGCTGCTTGAGTTTCATTCTGTTTGTCATCATCTTGAAGTGCACTTGAGCAGAACTTTCTGCTTTGACTCCTAAACATGAACTTTGTTTACATTGACTTGTAAGGATTAATTCTGTTTTTTGAACCTTGTTCTGAAGTCACAGCTAGTTCGCTGGCTCTAAATAATTCCTACCCAAGAAAACAAAGGCAAAACGGAAAAAAAGTGCCTGTTATCATGACGACAATGCATAAGTTGAAATTTCATTTATTCACCATGAAGATGAAATCTGATTAGATCCAAAAATACATAGCAGCATGTATGCTCCCTAAACATGTAATTGGTTCTTCCATTTTAATGAGGACTGCTTTACTCATTTCACTTCCTGGGTATAAATGGATGGTGTTTTTGCATGTATGTCCATACAGTGACAAGCTTGTGCTTGCAAATGTACTCAACGTATGAGAGAAAGCTAAAGCATTATTATTTTATTTTTTAATAAAAAACTTTATTCGTTTATTTTTTACAATCCCCCACCCTGCAAAGGAGAAACAACTGAATAGAGTTGTTTCTTTATTAACCTTGATTCACAATTCAGGTCTTCTCATGCTAGCAAAACTGTAACCAAATGGCACCTCATGCACACACAAGAGGGAAGTATCACTGGACTGGATGTAACACTAAGATTTTCAGATAATTAAAAAAAAAAAAAATCCTAAAGGAGTGACCCAGAGGGACATAATGGTACAGAATACGTATTGACTGACTCAGAGGGAAAAAACTGACAACTAGATGAATAGGGTGGAAAAAAGAGGTGCCTTTGGTTGGATTCAGCAGGACTCTTACATATTTATTTTACATTATATTCTTATGCACATTTATCAGGAAGCCAGAATTTGCTGTGGCTCTCTCTGTGAGTGTATGCACAGTGACAAACCTGTGTTTGCGATTATGTTATGTGTGAACTGACCCTGGGAGAAACAGCCTCCCATTCACATGCAAACTGAAGTGAAAGCAGATTGATACATCTATTCTGTTTTCATACCATATTTTTTTTGTCAGATTCCCCCCCCCCAGTAGACATTATAATCTCTCTCCTGATAGCTTGAACGTTACAAAGAGTTTCACAAAAAAGGAAGGATTTGGATACAAACTACCCACTACATCACACTTTAAGCTGTCCTGTGAAAGAAATATAGATGCTCATCTTCTCAAATCAGCCTCTGTTAAAGAAAGTAAAAACCCTTGATGTTCTCTGGGCAGAAGTTTTTTGCTGTTGTCTGCAAAAGGAACTCTCACAGTTGGACATGTAATAAGATTCCTCTCAGCTGGAAGATTAATATCAGCTCACCTCACCTCTCTGGTACAGTATAGGATGAGAATAATGTACCAAGCAGAAATTTGTTTCAAACTTCTCTCAATAAATAAATGATGAATGATTATGAATAAAATCAATTTGACTTCCAAATTGCTGATCTTTCTGTCCATTTTTAATTTATACATTTTCTTCTGACAGAAATAAGCTCATGGTGCTACACACATACACTCACACACATCTATTGCATTTTTTCTGCTTATCAAGCCATCATTAATGATGCAGCCTGCACACAGTTCGGAATTCTGCTCTGCTGCAAGTGAACAAAGACCTGTGCTCTCAGTGATGCAGCAAGAGCTATGCTAGGCATCTTAATCTGAATGGAATAAAGTGCACAGATTTTCTCACAGCCACAAAGAGGTCCTTCTGCTTTTTCACTGGGAACAGGAGTTTATAGAATATTTGGCCAGGGGACTGGATTAATCTGCAGATCAGAAACCAGCAGATAAGTTATTTAAAATATGGTAAATCCATCTTGTGGACTCTTTAAGTTGCCATGGAAATTCATAATTTATTAAAGTTAAGGGAAAACTTGTTTCTAAAAAGAAAGTTTGGATACGTTTTCCCGAAGGTGGAAACTTTTACTCTCCTTTTTAATAGGCCTTGTTCCTTAGCCATATCAAAGAGAATAAAATGATGAGTAAAATTATATGTCAGTATTGTCAGATATAGCCATTGTAAAAAGCAACTTACACTTTCCCAGATCACCTCAATAGGAGGACCAAGCGGAGCACAGTCAAACAATTGGAGTTGGAGTTTAATTTATATGCTGCTTCCCACATACTATACAGTTTACTATACAGCGGAAAGGAGCAGCCAAGCATACTAGGACTCAATTTCTTGACTTTAAGAAAGCCGACTTCATAAAACTTAGGGAAGTGCTGGGTGAGATCCCATGGACAGTAATACTAAAAGCAAAGGGAGTTCATGATGACTGGGAGTTTGTTAAGAGGAGATAGTAAAAGCACAACTTCAGGCAATACCAATGAGATGGAAACATGGAAGGTGCCTAAAGAAGCCAGGGTGGCTATCTAAAGAACTTTTAACTGAGTTAAGATTAAAAAGGATGTGTACAAAAAATGGAAAAGGGGGGAAACCACCAAAGAGGAATTCAAACAAATAGCCAGCACGTGTAGACACAAAGTCAGAAAAGCTAAAGCACAGAATGAACTCAGGCTTGCTAGAGAGGTTAAAAGCAACAAAAAGGCTTTTATGGGTATGTTCGTAGCAAAAGGAAGAACAAAGAAACAGTGGGGTCACTCAGAGGCGAAGATGGTGAAATGCAAACAGGGGACACAGAAAGGGCTGAACTCCTCAATGCCTTCTTTGCCTCAGTCTTCTCCGATAAAGAAAACAATGCCCGACCTGAAGAATTTGAAGCAAATGATTCAGCAGAGGAAACACAGCCCAGAATAACTAAGGAGATAGTACAAGAATACTTGGCTAGTTTAGATGTATTCAAGTCTCCAGGGCCAGATGAACTGCATCCAAGAGTATTAAAAGAACTGGCAGATGTGATCTCAAAACCACTGGCAGTCATCTTTGAGAATTCCTGGAGAACAGGCGAAGTCCCGGCAGACTGGAGGAGGGCAAATGTTGTCCCTATTTTCAAAAGGGGGAAAGAGAGGACCCAAATAATTACCGCCCAGTCAGTCTGACATCGATACCAGGGAAGATTCTGGAGCAGATCATTAAGCAAACAGTCTGTGAGCACCTAGAAAGGAATGCTGTGATCACCAATAGTCAGCATGGATTTCTGAAAAATAAGTCATGTCAGACTAACCTGATCTCGTTTTTGACAGAATTACAAGCCTGGTAGATGAAGGGAACGCAGTGGATGTAGCCTACCTTGATTTCAGCAAGGCATTTGACAAGGTGCCCCATGATATTCTTGTAAAGAAGCTGGTAAAATGCGGTCTTGACTATGCTACCACTCAGTGGATTTGTAACTGGCTGACTGACCGAACCCAAAGGGTGCTCATCAATGGTTCCTCTTCATCCTGAAGAAGAGTGACTAGTGGGGTGCCACAGGGTTCTGTCTTGGGCCCGGTCTTATTCAACATCTTTATCAACGACTTGGATGATGGACTCAAAGGCATCCTGATCAAATTTGCAGATGACACCAAACTGGGAGGGGTGGCTAACACCCCAGAGGACAGGATCACACTTCAAAACAACCTTGACAGATTAGAGAACTGGGCCAAAACAAACAAGATGAATTTTAACAGGGAGAAATGTAAAGTATTGCACTTGGGCAAAAAAATGAGAGGCACAAATACAAGATGGGGACACCTGGCTTGAGAGCAGTACATGTGAAAAGGATCTAGGAGTCTTCGTTGACCACAAACTTGACATGAGCCAACAGTGTGACGCGGCAGCTAAAAAGCCAATGCAATTCTGGGCTGCATCAATAGGAGTATAGCATCTAGATCAAGGGAAGTAATAGTGCCACTGTATTCTGCTCTGGTCAGACCTCACCTGGAGTACTGTGTCCAGTTCTGGGCACCACAGTTCAAGAAGGACACTGACAAACTGGAACATGTCCAGAGGAGGGCAACCAAATGGTCAAAGGCCTGGAAACGATGCCTTATGAGGAACGGCTAAGGGAGCTGGGCATGTTTAGCCTGGAGAAGAGGAGGTTAAGGGGTGATATGATAGCCATGTTCAAATATATAAAAGGATGTCACATAGAGGAGGGAGAAAGGTTGTTTTCTGCTGCTCCAGAGAAGCGGACACGGAGCAATGGATCCAAACTACAAGAAAGAAGATTCCACCTAAACATTAGGAAGAACTTCCTGACAGTAAGAGCTGTTTGACAGTGGAATTTGCTGCCATGGAGTGTGGTGGAGTCTCCTTCTTTGGAGGTCTTTAAGCAGAGGCTTGACAACCATATGTCAGGAGTGCTCTGATGGTGTTTCCTGCTTGGCAGGGGGTTGGACTCGATGGCCCTTGTGGTCTCTTCCAACTCTATGATTCTATGATTCTATGAAATTTGTGTGGCTTAACCAATATCAGCAAACAACAATGGAATAAAAATATATGCCAAAATACAACAATGCATTTCAAGATATAACATCATTGTTTCAAAAATATTTCCCAGTCATGATTAAAGGAAAAACATTTGCATATAGATAAAGACTAATACTGAGCTGAAATCTCTCCCTGTTCCCCATTTTTCAAAAATTAAAAAAAAATTACTCCCCTGGAAAAATGGAAGCATTTTTTTCCTGCTGCTTCCTTGGGGTGGAGGAAATGGGAAATTGCTGAAATTGGGAAGGTGTTGCCATTTACCTTGCTGGCTCCTGTTGAGAAGTGTAGCTGGCAGGAAGTTGAGAAGAGTGTCGTGCCATGTTCTGCTGGCCACAGTTTTCACAATGCATTAGGAATGATGTGGCACAGGGTTACTCCCAATGCATTTCAGGAAGGGTAGCTAGTGGGAAGCTGCAAAGAAAGAATACAAGGCTTTTTTAAAAAAAAATAAAACAAAATAAAATATAAGAAAAATGAAAGGTGGAAACAAAACTCTCATAAGATTAAATAAGTTCGGTGACAATCACTTCCTGAAAATTTTGAAGAATTTATTTCCCCTCCACGATTTTCTTGCAGAGGTTTGGTTGGAGATGCTCCAGACCTGTGAGTGAGCAACTAAATGCTACTTTCATTCTGCTTTATCACTAAATTGCTTCACTTTTCCACCTCAAGCTGTCAGAGTCTTGCTGGCATAAGGGTTATAGCTGCTTTAACCTCCCATCACAACAAGGATATTGATACCCCAGAGTAATGCTTCATTCTCTGCCACTGTCATTTTGTGCTTTACCTGGTGAAAGGGTTTTCTGGAGCAATCCAATCTCACACAATAGATGTAACTTGAGGATAGGATCACCTTTGCAAGGCATTCATTGAATGGCAGCATCATTATTACCATCTGATAGAAAAGAGCTCCAGATAGAATCCTCTGCTTTCAAGAGATTTTCAGCACATGGAACATGTGGATTCTAGCAAGCATGATTTCTATATTAATTACACTAAAAAGAAAGGATTTTGGAAGGCCTTTGTATGTCTTCATCTCCACAAGCAGGAACAAACAATTTTGATCAAAGGTTGGTTTACAGGCACAGATGAATAGCATGAAAATTTTATGCAAGATATTCCAGTCAAGGAGGAACAAATGAAATCTTTATGTGAAATCGCAGAATAGAAGACTTCGGTATTAACCATATAAACTCTTCTCTTGCCACACATCTAATTCTTCTGAAAACCTGAAGCATGCAATTCGTTTTCAAATTAAAGATAACTTTAGCCTGCAACCCTATGCAAACCTACATGAGAATCATTCCCATCAAACTCAGTGGAACATACTTCTGAGTAAACATAAAATGTAGAATCCTATACACAAGGAGTGATGGACTGTGGCCCTCCAGACTACAACTTTCATAATCCCTGACGTTAGCTGGCGATGATGGGAGTTGCAGTCTAACAGCATGGGGAAAGGGGAACAGGTTCCCTACCCGTGCCATACATACTTAACTGGAAATCAGTTCCATTAGATTCAAGGGGGCAAGGTTTTTAGCAGATAGAATATAAATTTAGTTCAGTTCACCTTTAAAAGTGGATCTAACTAATTTGCCTTTCCCTAAACAACACAGGAACCAAAATGGAACGACCCCTTGAAGCTTCCTCTTCTCTTATTTTTGCAGTTCAGTTCTCTACCCAAGAAATGTGTACCAAAATTCATTTACTTTTTATCATGTAAGTTTTACATAGTTCTTAACTTGTCTGTTATTTCTCCACAGGGAAGAACCAGAGAGCAGGGACTCTCTTAGTACTGATGTTTGTAAGCCGCTTTGAGAGCTTTTAGTGGCACGATGCCACAAATAAGCAAATAAACAAATTGTGCATAAAAATACAATCAATTGGTGAAAATAATAAAATGTATGCTGCAGAAAATTGATTGCAAAAATGTATATATTGCACTAAAACGCTGGTGAATTTTCACGTGAACTTAAAATAATAATAATGATTGCAAACTTGTGTGGAGGACTGAACTTATGATTTGAAAAAGAAGAAACTGAGAGGAACCAAAATTTACTGATTCATCCATCCCAGCCCCAGTGAGCATGGGCAGTGGAAAGGGATTATGAGATTTGTAGTCCAGCAACATCACGAGGGCACCACATTGGCTACCCCAGGTTAATGCTGCAGAGATATTCTTCAGTCATATCTAGAACCCTTGAGCAAAAGGCTTGTGTCAGTAGTTTTCAACCAGTGTGTCGTGGCACCCTGGGGTGCCTTGAGTGATGGTCATGGGTGCCGTGGGCAACACTGGCCTCTGTCAATGTTTCCTTCCCTCCCTCCTCTGAAGCCCCTTTGCATATCTGCCTCCCTAAAGCTTGCACAGTTTTTTGTTGCAGCAGCCATGGCTAAAAGCTCCCCAAGCAAATGGTGCCTCTGGGGTTGGCCAGGAGCTGGTGGTGGCCAGGAGTGGTGGTGGTCTTGGAGTAAGCAAGCAAGTGGGTGAGGGAACCCAGCCAGCCAGTCCACAAGCCCTTGTTGCTGGGAATGGACAGACAAGTGGGAGACCGGGCAGGCAAGCAGGGTCTGGGGGCATTCTCTTTGGTGCAAAGTGAGGAGGCACCTTTCTTTGGGGTGGGAGGGGGGAACAGCTCAGAGACCAGGAGTAGTGGCAGCGGCTGCCTGGAGGACTCCCAAGGAGAGGGGAGAGAAGAGGAGGCTGAGGAAACACTCCACAAAGGGAAGGTGCTTGAGAAAGGGTGAGAGGCTGCCATCTCTGAAGGCAAGGGGTGACATAACTGGGCTCCTGAGCCCCACAGGGGTGCCGCAGAAAGATGGTAGTTGGTCAAGGGAGCTGTGGATTCAAAAAGGTTGAAAACCTCTAGCTTTTGTAATTCTGGCACCCATTAAAAAACTCTTCTGTGAACATAGAGAATGGCACCATATCTTATGGGGAATACCTTCTAAAAATATTGCACTCTATAAGATGGTGGTTGCATACTGTCTTCAAACATAGTTGGGTATATACTGGAGTTGTGCCCAGAAGAAGTGACTAATATGTACTGCCTGCTGAGGCTACAAAACATCCGAGTCAGAAATGTGTTTTCAGCAGTCCATCAATAATTCAGCAATCACTGAATGAAGCTGTATCCTCTGACCTGGCAATGTAGTAGAAAATTGCCTTTGCCCACCCTGATTCAGATAGTTCCCATTGGACATGTGCCATGGTCTTCACTTCCAGTAACCATTAATCTGTCCGGAAAGGAAGAAATAAAAGGAACAGCTCGCATCAGCCTCAAAGTAAGGAATCCTAATGGCTGTCAAATATTCACAGTAATTCTCAGAACTTTGGCACCATTTGTTTTACGCCAGATTAATGGAAGCAAGGAGCAAGGTTAGGGTGTGAGAAGCAGCAGTCAGACACAATGGCAGAAAAAAGTCTTCCTTGTTTAGAGAGAACTGAATGGAAGGGACTAAGGCGCCTTACAAAAGAACCTTTTGCTGTATTGATACCTGCACAATCAGCTCACCTGGCACAGATTCCCTCTCTTGAAGTAGGTTATTCCCCCAACTGACAGTGCTGGCAACAAACCAAATTGAGTTTGGTTTATAGGCTGCTGGTGGGCTGTATAAAATACACCATAAACATTTATGAAACATCAAAGAGATCCATATAGGAGAGAAACAGCAAGGCAGTTTGAAACGGATACAATCATATACAAAATCTAAATTAACACGGTGAAAAATAAATAGCCTACTGAACTAGTTCTGGTCTTGCTACACTCCAGTGGGGCCAATCACATTTAAAATACAATTAAGAAACCTTGAGGGGGTGGGAGTTCTCACTAGGTGAGATGGTTTGTAGGTGGTTGCGTTACTTGGCACCCAGGCATCAGCAAAGGGTAAATGCTTGGGTGTGGCAATGATAGTAAGTTCTCTTCCAAGTCTTCTGGGTGCTCTAGCTGCTTATTCTAGTCTTCCTGGTGCTGGGTAGGCCACTTTAAATGGCTCTCTAAAACTGAGAATTATTTTATGCTGCATCTGACCTTCTCAGACGCTTGATGTAAAGTGAGACTGCTGAGACAGGGTTGAGTGGATTGCCATGTTCTGTTCCTGTATTGTTCCAGGGCGTCACTCTGAATTCCTGTTTAAGGAGATTCTGAGTAAACATCAGGAAGAACTTTCTGATGATATGAGTTGCTCAGCAGTTAAACTCCCTTGTAAGGCCTGCCATCAGTGGCGGAGCTACACGCTCTGGCACTGGCAGCAGAGAACAGGCGGGGGTGTGGCTGGCGCGTGTCCTGAGAGGGTGTGGTGCGCTGGCACCCCACCAGGGATGGCACCCACGGTGGACCACTCCCCCCGTCCCCCTTTGTCCCCCAGTGTCTGTCATGGATGCTTTAGTTGAGATTCCTGTATTGCAGGGGGTTCAGTAGATGACCCTTAAGGATATCTTTCAATTCTATGATTCTATGATATGCTGCTCTCTATTTGTTGTTGGAATAGTTGGAAGTTGGCAGCGGTTTTTCTGGAGAGAAAATGGAGTGTGCCTCTTGGGGGTGAAGTCAAATGGCTGTGTTAGCAGCACCAAAGTGACCTTCTCAGGACGCAAGCCTGGACAGTTTGTAAGGAGGTCCTGAGGTGCCTTCTCTGCCTCACTGATGTGGTTCAAAGGAAAGCAGAGCAATACATTTGGCACCAGCTTGGCTGCAGGTGTTGCCGGAAGGAGGCATACAAAGTGCCACCCAACTGTTTTAGGGACTCCAGTCCAGATTTGTGCAGGGTTTACTCCTTAGCCTTTTCTTCTCTTGAATATATTCCACAAGGCAACAGAGGGTTAGGATCAGAGTTTTCCTACTTTGAGATGGGCTACAGTTCCAGGTTGATGAGCCCCATCTGCCCTTCTCTTCTACAAGCAAGTGCAGAAACCGCCTTCTTGACTGTTGGACCCACTGTTGGTCTCATCCACTCAATCCCCCAGAGCCCACATTTTCCAAAAAAACTCAGGCACTGTGGTCGATAGTCAGAGATGATGGGAGTTATATATCTGCCTTGTGATATTTTTACATGAGAGTGCAGTTCAGAAATATTTAAATAAATAAAATTGAACAGATAGTTCCACATCATCTGGAGGCCACCTTCTGGATTGGCTACCCTGGAACTTGAACAATTTCTAAAATTAATTCTAGTAATTCACAAATTGCTGCAGGTTCCATTTTATTTATATAATTTGCAGCTACTTTATGATGTACATGAACATGCTGGGGGAAAAGCAACCTTCGTATGCATGATCACTGCAAGATTCGTCTTGTGCAGTATTTTACTGATGCAC